GGAGGGAGAGAGGCACTGAGCTCTACGGGATGGATGGGGGCCGGGCGTGCCGTTGGGCTGCGCAGGAGGGCCCGTGGCCGTCTGTTACCATCTTTCGGGAGAACGGTCCCACCATTTGCAAGTTCCAAAATCTCACATATGTCTACGAATTTTTTCATGCTCGGGAAGCTGGACGTGTCCTGTCTGCCTGCAGTTGGAAGGAGAATCACAAGGTCAGAGTCCCCAGCTCTGGCCGCCTGGTGCCATACCCGAGCCCGCGGCCACTGCAGCACCCTCCGAGCTGGCAGGACAGAGAAGCCAGGGTGCTGCCAAGGGAGGTGGCCGAGGCGGGTGATGGGGAGTGTGCTCCTGTCCCCTCTGTGCTCCGAGGCAGGTGGGTGTCCCCGGTGTGGCCCCGAGGTGGGCACCACACAGGGCCACTTGGGGAGCCCTCTCTGCTCACAGGACCCCTCGGCCGGAGCCTGATGCCCCTCCCGCTGCGCTCCTGGCCACGGCCTCCTCCACGGAGACTCCATTGGACCCCCCGACCTCTCCAATGGGTGTCCTGCAGGCCTCGGTGCCCGGAAGTGGGTTTGTGCCCCCTTCCCCCACCCCTCCCTGGACAGCAGCTCCCCTCCCGCCCTCCCTTCGCCACCTCCCGCTGCTCCCCCGATCCTGGCCTCAGCCCGCGGGGGGGTCCCCTGCCTCCATGAAGAGGGTCAGTCCCCCTCCTGACCTGTTGCCCTCTGGGCTCCCCCCATGCACTGGCCGCCCCCATTCAGCCCCGTGGCAGCCACACCAGAGACCTGCCCACCTGGTCCCCCCGTCCGGGCGCCACGCTCCGCCCACCCACCTGGCCACACCATTTGCTGTGTGTGTCCCGGCCCTGTCCTCCTACCTCCCACTTCCTGCCAGCCCGCAGCGCGAGGGCCGTGACAGGAACGGACTGTGTCTTCGTGTCCCCCCAGATTCATCCATCAGAGCCCCAGAGGGATCGTGTGAGGTCCTGGAGCCTTGGGAGGGGTGTGGGGTTCGCTGGGTGCTCATAATGGGGTCAGTGCCCGTATAAGAAGAGGAAGACACCAGAGCCCTCTCCCCGACACTTGACATAGTGAGAAGGCGGCCATCTGCAAGCCAGGAAGGGGGGCCTCCCCGGAACAGCAGGGGCCACTGGGAAGGGTCAGGAGTCCCTCCCACACACCCAACCCCCTTCCAGGCCTAGGCCGCGGGCACTTGCATGCTTGTGGGCTCTGGGACCGTGGCCTGCCTGCCCACCCTGGGGCCGCTGTCCCTCCCATGCACCCAACCCTGGGACAGAGGAGAGGCATCTCCCGGGCCTGTGGCCATGAAGCCGGGTCACGCCCACCCCCAGGACTTTCTCTCCAGGCCCCGGGCCTTCATACTCACAAGGATTCCTGAACATCGCCTTTTTCCTATCTTTCTGCAGAATTAACGTGTGTGACTGGCACCCCTGTGACCTAGGGGGCAAGGCGGGAGCCCTTTGTTGCCTCTGGTTTTCTGGAATTTTCCAGGTTGGAGCAGGGCCAGACCCACAGTTTAAGGGAAACCCTCGGAACTCCTACTGTCTGCCGAGTTCTCCCGTGTACATGGTGGCCTCTCCCAAAATCAGGCCTTGAATTTTAGCGGCAGGATGGGTTTCGGGGCCGCAGTGATGGTCTGTCAGATGTGCAGATGATCGTGGGTCTGGCTTCCCACGCCCCCGGCTCCCTTT